CGTTCCCCCCCCACACAATGGGATGGGGGAGAGAATCAGAAGAGTAAAAGTGAGAAAACTCGTGGGTTGAGATAAAGACAGTTTAACAGGGAAAGCAAAAGCCGCACACGCAAGCAAAGCAAAGCAAGGAATTAATTCACTGCTTCCCATGGGCGGGCAGGTACTCAGCCATCCCCAGGAAAGCAGGGCTCCATCACACGTAACGGTGACTTGGGAAGACAAACGCCATCACTCCAAATGTCCCCCCTTCCTTCTTCTCCACCCAGCTTTATATACTGAGCATGATGTCATATGGTCTGGTATAGCCCTTTGGGGTCAGCTGCCCTGGCTGTGCCCCCTCCCAGCTTCTTGGGCTGAGGCACAAGAGTCAGAGCTTAGAGCTGAGAAGTCCTTGGCCAGTCTGAGCACTACCCAGCAACAACTAAAACATCAGGGTGTTATCAACATTATTCTAGTACTAAATCCAAAACACGGCACTATGCCAGCCATTATGAAGAAAATCAACTCCGTCCTAGCCAAAACCAGGACAGGGGGGAGCATGGCTTCAGAGCACCAGGCGCCTGAAAGTCCAGTAAAGTAAGATTTGCTTAGTTGTGAATGCTGAGCTAAGGATGACACATTCTAGGAGGATGGTGAGATACTGAGTGACTGAATATGTAGATTTTTCTACAACGTGCTAAGCATTTTTCACAATGAACACCTAATATTAGAGAAATCCAATTTTATATGCACTGAAATTGGATGTAATACAGTTACTGGAGGATAGGTTGCCCTTCAACAATTAGTGGCTACCAGCATAAACTTCACCTAAGGTAACAGAAAAACACAGTGTGAAGAGAAAAAAAAAATCATTGCTTTTGATTACCCGTTGATTTCAACAGTTACCTCAACTTGACCGAGCTCTTTAAAATTGTAAGTAAGACTGAAGGACTGAAATTGAAAAAAAATCAGCATGGAGTCTTACTGTGTACTGAGAGACTGAAGAGAATCCGTGTATGTAACTCAAGGGTCCTGTATTGACAGAATGAGCCCATCTTCTGCCTTCAAACCATAGCTCTCTAATTTCATAAAAACCCATGCAACTTGTTCTCTTCATTCCTACCTCAAACAGGCTGCATAAACCTGCCGAATGTGGATTCTGCTAAATTTGAGCTTTATTAAAATCAGTTTCAATCTTATTCACTGCTTAAAACACATTAAAATATTAAAGCTGATAAATCTCATTATTATTTAAAATTGTTCTTGCAATGATTGAATATTGAGACCAATAGAAATATACTATTGGGCATGAAAGCAGAACGTGATAAAGAACTGGCGTTTCCCTAAAATGCCCTAAAATTTTAGCAGTCTTTTTTTTTTCACATGGCTGTCAGTTCCGTTGGAAATGAGTGGATACCCCAGCTGTGGGAACATGCTGGAGCCAAGGTCTTTGGGCATTGTGTTGCATGGGAACAGGACATCGCCAGGAGGTACGTTTCATGGGGGTGTGGTGTGGTACAAATTTCAACATGGCACCAGCGTTCCCATGCAGCTGCCACCTTGTCCCAACAGGGCAGAAATCTGCTTCTTGTCATGTTACTGGATGCGCGGCGTCTCGGCCACTGGGGAGCAGCGACAGCCATTGGAAAGGCAAAAAGCAGTGGTGGTCCACACCTGCCTGAGTTGGTGTCCATCACACTGACTTTACTGGCTCAGGGTCCAGCTGCGGGACAGGCATTGGTGTTCTAACTCCTCTTTGATCAGTCAAGAAATCAGTCCAAGATCTCCGATACTTCCTTGGATTTCTACTAGTTCCCTCGTTGTTACGGACAGTAGGTTGCTGAAAGTATCAAAGCTACAAACATCGAAAGATTAAAATAAACGGCAATGAAAAGAATTGGAAAAAAGTGGGCTAAACTGCCTAGAAACAGTTACAAAGACACATTTCAGAAGAAGTTCTTTACTCCTAGGTTTTGTTTGCCTGCCCGAACACCACCTTTTTTTCTGTGTCAGCATTTGTCTTGGTTTGCTGATCACTAAACCGTCACAACACATTCACGACTGTATCACTCATGAAAATTGTCATCAGCGTATTAAGCTAAAGTTTTTCTCCGCCATTCTCAGCCGTCAGTCACAGTTCAGAAGAGAAACAGCCACACGCAGTGCAGGGAGTTACCTCTGTGCAGCTGGCGCTCAAGGCAGCGGCTTCATCCAAATTCGCAAGGAGAGGTGCAAGAGAATTTGGTACTTTCTCCAGGCAAAACCAACACAAGGAGATTGTGTTGTCATCTGTGATATAACTTAGACGCTCATATAGGGCAAAAATGCTTCTAGAGTTAATTACAGACAGGCAGAAGACAGACATTCCTGCAGAAAGTATCTGTTTGAAATGCAGCTGAGGTGGACATCCGAGTCCACAGGTTGATGCCCATCAGAACGGTCTAAATTGGCAGATCAAAAACTTGATCGTAGAATCGTAACTCGCCCCTTGGCCACGCCGCCGCGTTTTGGAGAAAGAGAGGGCAGCGCCGGGCGCCACGCTGCGGCGGAGGGCGCGGCGGAGCCGTTGGGCTCGCGCTCAGCCGTTGCCCCGGCGAGGGCAC